GAGGCTTTTAACATTTGAGCTGAAACCTGAGGTGGTGAAGCTGTGGGTGCTAGCCAGGGAAGGAGGCTGGAGAAAGGGGTGCCCAATGCCAGAAGGCCCAGACTTAACCCAGGAGCCTGACGCCTTGGAAAAACTAAAGGAGCTGAGGGGGTGGAGAGGAATGGGGAAGGGAGTGTGAATGGGCAAGAAGGGTGAACAGGGAGTTGGGGCAGACACAGAACGGCCTTTTGCTAAGGACTGAGGGTGCTGTCCTGAAGACAACGGGAAGCGATGGGGGTAGGCAGACGGGCAGCATAAACAGATGGTCTTGGCTGCCCTGAGGGTCATGGGGTGGGTGACCTTCCTCCCCGTGGCCGCCACTTCAAGTGTATAGTGCAGCAACAATGTCTAGCTTCTGGGACTCTGTGTGTGTGCCTGCCTTGTGGGCTTTGCTCAGTAAGTATTGAAAAAGCCACTCTTCACCTGACTTGATCTCCTGTGTCTCCTCCCAGGGCCCCACTCCTGCCTAGGAACACCATGCATGCAGGTGAGCTGTGCCTAGGGGAAGGGGTGGAGTGGGGTGGGGTGGAATTAGGGAGTTGGCCCCGCAGTCGGACTGCTGGGTGAGGCAAGGCTGTGCTTACCACTCTTCACCTGACTTGATCTCCTTCTGTGTCTCCTCCCAGGGCCCCACTCCTGCCTAGGAACACCATGCATGCAGGTGAGCTGTGCCTAGGGGAAGGGGTGGAGTGGGGTGGGGTGGAATTAGGGAGTTGGCCCCGCAGTCGGACTGCTGGGTGAGGCAAGGCTGTGCTTTTGACGATGATCTCAGGGTCTCGTCTATGTAGCCTGCCCCACTCGGAACAGGCAAACTTTTAGGGGGAGCAGGCAGCTCTGCCAAGGCTGCTGTGGGAACCTTGGGCCATAGCCATTTGCAGAGTAGTTTCAGCAAGTTGGGGGTTGGCTGGGAGCAGTGTGACCAATAAGGTGCTCCTCCTCCCCTTTTTCTCCCTCAGGCGGGAGAGGTTCCTCATGTCTGTATTTGTGGGCTTCCTACCGTGCACGTGGCACAGTGCTAGGTGCTGGGGGTGCCCCAGGGACTAAGATCTGCATGGTTCTTGCCCGAGTGGAGTTCAGGTCTGGCAGGGGCGGGACCACTAATTGAGTCATTGGAATAAAGTGCACTGAATATTTTGTCGTGGAGGCTGGGGCTGGAAAGGTGGGCTGGGCGTGGTCATGGAGAACCTTGTAAGTGACACAGGGGCCTCATTTTAAAGAGAGCAGGGGTCCTTGGAAAGATTCTAACAGGTGAGGCTTGGCTGAATTTGCCTTCTCTCTCTCAGGAACACTGCGGGGAGCTCAACAGTCAGCTGTCAGAGAGAAGCGGGCAGTGGCATTGACAGACCTCTAGACGGCATGGCTCTGAGTCAGAGGGCTAGTCTGGTCCTCTGTGAAGACCCAAAGAAGACACGCAGTTTCAACTCCACTGGGGCCCCAGGTTTAGGCTCTGACACCATCTCTGGGCCAAACCCAGACACAGACCTTGTTCCTGCCCTGAATGTCTCCCCGAATCCTGGCTTGGCTCTTGTCCCAGACCTTCATCCAATTCTGAGTCCTGTCTCTGAGGAGGCCCCTGGCCTCGTGTCTGATAGCACCCCCAGTCCTGAAGAGAGCGGGGCCGTGGCTTCAGCCGCCCTCCAGACCACCTCTTCCCCCTCTGGCGAGGCACTGGGCCTGGAGCTGAATCACATCTCGAGGCCTAACTCACAGGGGGCCCTACATCCAGCCTCACCGCTCGTTCCGAGCCCTGACTCTGCTGAGGCCCAGGGTCCGAGCTCGGACAACCACTCTGGGCTGAAGTCTGAGGAGGCCTTCAATCCCCACTCAAGCAAGGTTTTTGAGTTGGGTCAGAATAACTCCAATCCTTCCAGGTCTGAATCCAACCCATTTTTAAGGACCTTTTCAAGAGAAGCCCTCGTTCTGGGCCACTGCCTCTCCAGGCCATGCTCCAAAGCACTCCTTATCCCGGCCTCAGGCTCAATGGATTCCCCTTCCAATCACCTGTTCAGTGTGGGCTCAAGAACCGTCTCCAAGCTGGACCTGAAAGGGGCTCCAGGTTCCTGTGGGACCCTAAGCCCAAACACCAACGAGACCATCAAGTTGGTTTCCCAGGACATTTCTGGGTCTGTTTCAAAAGGATCCTTTGGTGCAGCCTGGAACACAAGTTCCAAGGGAAACATCAATGTGGCTTTAAATAGCAATTCCAGGTCTGATTTGAACATGACCGTCACTCAGGCCTCCTGCTTGGCCCTGATTCCTGGCAGCCATGATGATATCAGCCTGCGTTCCAGCACCCATAGACCCAACTCGGTCCTTTCTCCGACCTCGTGCATGACCTTGATAATGGGCTCCAAGGAGACCCTGAGCCTGAGCTCTAGCCTCATCTTTAGCGACACGTCCACCCTGACCCTGAGCAGCCAGCAGGATGATTCTGACGACAACGCCATCCACACCGTGCCCCTGGAGGAAAGTCAGAGCTGGGGCGAGATGGCCAACGCCGAGATGAGCCGGTTCCCGCTGGTGTTCCCCACCTGCAACACTGCAGACAAGGGCACCGCAGCCTTCCGCAGCGTCCCTGAGCGTGAGTATGGCCAGGGCGACAGCCCGAGAGAGGGCACTGTCCTGGGAGAACCTTGTAGTCAGACTTGTGGGGCGGGAGCGGGGAGAGGGAGAGGAAGGGAACGGCATTCAGTGGATAACATGCAACATATTCATTATGCCCAAGAGACCCAGTGCTCAGCCTCGGCTTGTTGGGCGACTTGGGACAAGCTACTCAATCTCTCTGAACTTCAGTTCCCTTAACTTCAATAATCTCCATAGGATAATACTTTTATTATGTCCAAATTACAAGTCGACTAATTTTATCTTCCTTTCCACATGTATGCGTCTTTCTTTCTTGATAAATTTCAGACCTGGCTGTTCGGGTCAACATTTTTTTTTTCCTTTTCTTTGTTCAGGTCAACATTTGACCCGTGGAGTAGGCAGGCTTAGCTCATCTCTATTGAGTTTTGAGGTTCCTCCCTGAGCAAAGCCTTGGGGTTCTACCTGGAACCAGCGCTCACTCTGACATGCCAGTGTTCTGTAAATTAATCTCCTAGCAGTTTTTGATGTTGTAAAGATTTCCTTTCATTTATTTATATCCCCAAATAGTTTTGTTTGTTCATGGACCAATACCATATTGCAATGAAAAAAATTTACCATGGTTTTGTAAATATGTAGTCATATCTGTTAGGATAAGAATCCCTCTTAAAAGTTCTTAAAACTATTCTGAGGACAACAGCATCCAAACCGTGCCCTGGAGTCTGTTAGGAAGCCCTCACTCTTCCATACACATTTTAGAATATTTTTGTCTAGGCCTAGGTCCTCAAAAAATTTTTCTATCATTTTTTTGGGAATGCGATTAATTTATCTATCAAAGTTTTCCTTTATATAGGATACTAGAGGCCCAGTGCACAAAATTTGTGCACTGGGTGTGTGTGTGTGTGTGTGTGTGTGTGTGTGTGTCCCTCAGCCTGGCCTGTGCCCTCTCGCAGTCTAGGAGCCCTTGGGGGATGTCTGACTGATGGCTTAGGGGAGCGGGCCTAAGCTGGCAGTCAGACATCTTTAGTGCTGCTGCGGAGGCGGGAGAGGCTCCGCCACTGTTGCTATGCTTGCCAGCTATGAGCTCAGTTCTGGCTGAGTGGTGCTCCCGATGTGGGAGTGCACTGACCACCAGGGGGCAGCTCCTGCATTGAGTGTCTTCCCCCTGGTGGTCAGTGCACATCATAGCAACCGGTAATTCCACAGTTCAGTCATTTTGCATATTAGCCTTTTATTATATAGGATACCTTTTACTAGAATTAACAAAAACTCTCTATCAAAATCTATTGCTGTTTTGTTTTGTGTTGTTAAACCTCACTTGAGGATATTTTTCCCATTGCTTTTTTAGAGAGAGTGGAAAGGAGGGAGAGGGAGAGAGACAAAGGAAACAGAGAGAGAGAGAGAGGGAGAGAGAGAGAGAGAAACATCGTTGTGAGACACATCAATTGGTTATCTCTCATATGCGCTCCTACCAGTGTGGGGATGGAGCCTGCAACCCAGGTATGTGCCCTTGACCAGAAATCAAACCTGAGACCCTTCAGTGCATGGGCCGACACTCTAACCTCTGAACCACACTGGCCAAGGCCTATTGCACTTTTTAATAGGCTAATTCCTAGGTATTTTATTGTTTTTATTGCTATTATGAATCATATTTTATTTTCTAATACAATTCTTATTTTGTACTGATGATGCTAATGATGTAGAGAAATTTTGTTTTTGCATGTTGAACTTAAAAAAACCCCAGCTTGAGATATAATTTACATACCTTAAAATTTACTCACTTTAAGTGTACAATTTAATGTTATTGAAATATACACAGAATTGTGCAATCATCACCATAATCAATTTTAGAACATTTTCATCACCCCCCAAAGAAACCCCAAACCTAATTTAGGTATCACCACCAACCCATGCCCTCCAGCTCTGGGAACCTACTATTCTACTCTCTGTCTGTAGAGATTTGCCTGCTTGGCATTTTATATAAATACTAGAGGCCCGGTGCACAAAAATTTGTGCACTCGGCTTGTGGCTGAGCAGAGATCCCCCCTGTGAGAGTGCACTGACCACCAGAGGGCAGTTCCTGCATTGAGCGTCTGGCCCCTGGTGGTCAGTGTGTGTCATAGTGACCAGACATTCCCAGTCATTCTGCTGTTAGGGTCAATTTGCATATTACCCTTTTATTATATAGGATGTGGTCCTCTGTGATTGGAACACTTTAACCCTGTTTCATCCCTCCTTCCAATTTATATGCCATCCTGGTGATGCATATTCATTCTTTCTTAACCCTATAAATATTATTTTATGTAGTTAATGTTCTTATATTAACCCCAATATGAGCCTCTTTATTTGCCTTCATTGCTTATTGCATCTCAGACCTTCCCTCTGCCATTGATTTCCTTTAGCCTGAAGTATGTCCTTTAGACTTTCCTTTAGTGATTCTGCTGGTGATGAATTTGGTCATTTGTCTCTGAAAAATGCCTCTAGTTCCTTTCATTCTTTTTAAAAAAATCTAAAACAATAAAAACTTGCAGAAAAGTTGAAAGCACCATATAAAACTTGTTATGAATGATTGGATAAGTTGCCAAATGATGCCCCATAACCCCTGAATTTTAGTTTTTATTTCTTACAAAAGAGGACAAAAGGTAACCATCAAAATCATGAAATCAGTATTCATAAACGGCTCCCATTTCATTCCTGGACCCCACTCTGATGTCACTGACTGTCTCAGGAATGTTTTTCTGGAAAAGGAGATCAGTTCCAAATCACTCATTGCACCTTTTTGTCTCATCTGTTTTGTTACCTCAGTCCTTAGCCTCTCCTTGACTTTCTTGTTATTTTTGAACATGAGACATCTGGCCAAGGGGGCAGCAGCTGACCCGAGCTCAGGGCTTGGAGGGGAGTCACCTATTGCTCCCTTTTGTCACTTCAGGAGGCCTCATCTACCTCCCCCCCCGCCCCCCCCACACACCAAAACCTGAGAAAGTCTCAGAGGCTTGGTTAGCACTGGGGATGTGCCCACAACCAAGGTACATGCCCTTGACCGGAATCAAACCTGGGACCCTTTAGTCTGCAGGCCGACGCTCTATCCACTGAGCCAAACTGGTTAGGACTTGGTTAGCAGTCTTGTCGATGGGTTCCTTGCTAGATTCGGTCACAGGTCCGTGGTCACATCCTGGGCAACCCCTTCCACTCGCTGCTTCAGGCCGGGCAAGCCCTTGCTGGCCACGGCTGCAGGGCCTGCGAGGTTGTCAAGGGGAGCCGGGCAATGGTGATCTCCTGACCTGCATGTTCTTGCTGCATTTGCAGATTATGGGCCAGCTGTTTTGTAAGTTGTGCCTTAGTTTGGGTTTGTCTGTTTCCTCATGATCACGCCCCCGCCATGCACGTCTGGCAGGAAAAGCACAGGAGTGGTGCTGGCTTTCTCGCATTGCCTGCTATGCAATGGTGGCACATGCTTTTGACTTGCTCCATTACTGATGATGGTCATGTCAATCACTTGAGTGAGACAGTGGCTGCCCAGGTTCTCCTCTATAAAGTCACTGTTTACCCCTTTGTCATAAATATCATGTGGGGAGCTACTCTGAAACCATGTAAATATCCCCATCAGACTTTCAATTTACTCATTTAGTTATTTACATCAATGTAGAGTCGTGGATTCCTAGTTTATTCAATGGACTACGTCATCTGTTGCTGCCATGACTTATTGTGATACTCTAACTTCCCCCAATTTGACCAGAAGACTCCCTTCCAGCAAGCTTTTGTGTCCCAGTGACAGATCCCCATTGTTCTGTGAGCGCCCTTTCTTATTTCCAGTACAAGATGTCTCTTTCTTGGTTTCTGGCTGGTCTTATACTTTCTATGCCCAACGCCTAGAGTCAGCCATTTCTCCAAGGAGACTTGTCCCTTTTAGTGGAGAATGGTATCCTTGGTGTTAGCTGTTTTCACTGCTATTGGGATACCTCTGTGTTTCCCTATTGGCTCCATCTTCCAGCAGCCTCTGGTAGCCAAGGTGGCCCTGAAGTTCCAGGCTCATCAGAAGGAGATACACTTTCTTAAATAAAGCGCTCTATTGCCCTGCTAACCCAGGAGCCCATCCTTGGACAAACCCCTGTGGCTGAGGGCACAGGACTCTATTCGCCACGCTTGGATTGCAGACCCACCCCTATGTGAAGAGGGGTGATGGGCGGGGCTTGAAGAATTCCGCTTCACCTAGCCTCATGGAATGGGTAACCCACAGGGAAGGCAGGAACTCTGTCACCAAAAGGAGGAGGAAGAAGTCTGGGGCTGACAAAACAGCAGGTCTCTACTACAACAGATAAGAGTTTAATTACGAAATGTGATGACGGTTGAAAAGAGAGTACGCTGATGCACAAGAGGGTCACAGTGGGGCCCCTGTTCGCCTGAAGGTTAAGGGAAGCCTCTTGGAGAAGTGACAAGCAAGCTTAGACCCGAAGGGCAGCACGAGACCTGGACGAGGGGGCATGGCAATGGGTTGGCCCAGGCAGAGGAAGATGCCTGTGCAAAGGCCCTTGGGAGGAAGTGTGTCTGGGTCTGAAAGCCTGTGGCCAGTGTGGCCAGAGCATGGTGAGTGAGGGGTGAGTGTTGGGGCAGGGCCTGGACAGGGAGGGAGGCTGCCCTGCAGGGCCCTGACAAGGATGCTCAGTGAAATGAGGTGCCACCGACGGTTTTAGGGAAGGGAGCCAGTCTGGCTGCTCGGGGAGTCAGGATTGGAGAAGCCCAGTGGGGAGGAGAGATGGGACTATGGCACCCCAGGTAGACTGTATCTTTCTCCCCTCTTCTCTTCTATTGAAACGATGACATGCAGGAACCTTCAGTGAAGAGACCTCATGCCTGGTGAACGCACCAGGGAAGAGAGAGGATGACAACAAAATGACTCTGGTATGCTTCCTGCCCAGCCAGCAGTGGACTTCCTGGGATGCCCCCTCCCTCCTCACCCCCCCTCCCCAGCCCCAGCCTTGACACTCCCTGTTTCTCCCCCGGCTCCTCTTTTCTCCATGGTGCTCATCACCACCTGATGCACTGTGTGCTTTACTTCTTCATCTCCTTTCTTGTTCGTCTCTCCCACTATAACGTTTCCCCTGTGAATCGGCGATTTCTGTCCGTCTTATTCACATCTGTTTTCCCAGCACCCAGGGCACTGCCTGGCGCACCATAGGTGCTCAGTAAGATATCTAAGCAACTGAATGAATTGTGAGAGGGTCTCTAAAGGAGACAGAAAAGCTGCACACAGGCCGGACACAGGTCTTGGCCTTGAAGCAGGCCTCAGGTGGCCAGAGAAAGCCAGTGTCTGCAGCACTTGGTGAGGGCCAGCGGGGAAAGACTGGACAGGCTGGTGGACATGTGTATGACACACAGAGTGTGGGCAAGACAGGTTGATAGACAGTCTGGAAGTTGGGGATCCATCCAGGCCAGGACTCCTAGGAGGGAGGCCTGCCCCCTGGCAGCTTTGAGGCCAGCTCCCGTCTCTGAGGCAATGCAGGGTGAGGGTGGGAGTGGGGAGGTGGTGGCAGGACTAAGAAGAGGTCTTGCATTTGGGGAGCAACCGTCCTTATCCCACGATACCCTTCTAGTTGTCCACCTTGCTCTGGCCACACTACCTTTTTCTGTTTCTCACACATGCCAAACCCATTCTTACCTCAGGGCCTTTGCATTTGTTACTTCTGCCAGGAAGGTCCTTCTACCTACAAGAGAGGCGTAATAAAGCCGAAGTGAGGTCTATCTCTTCATCTATCTATCTAAAAGCCTAAGCGACCATCTGACCGTCCAACTGGTAGCTGCCACCAGGGGGCAGCGCTCAACGCAGGAGCTGCCAAGCTGCAGTGACTTGGCAGCTGTGGTTCTCGGGTGATGCCACAGAGAGGAGGGAGCCCAATTCTGGGGTGTGTCACCTGAGAACTACCCTCTTGCAATCTGGGACCCATCAGGGGATGTCAGAGAGCCACTTTTGGCCTGATCCCCACAGGCCAGGCCAAGGACCCCACCAGTGCACGAATCTGTGCACCGGGCCTCTAGTGTTACATAATGTATGCACAGCCCTGAGCACAGTCCCTGCACAGAAAGGGTTTATTACTGCAATCACTCAACACATTTAATCGAGTTCCTACTATGTGCTAGGCACTGTTTCAGGCACCAGAGATCCAATAGTGAAGTGACATTCTAGTTTGGGGAGACAGGTAGACCCTCCTTCTAGTTCTTCACATGGCTATCTCTTTCTTGTCATTCAGGACTCGGCTCAAATATTATCTCCTCTGAGAGGCCTTCCTTGACTGTTCAGTCTGAACAAGCCATCTCTCTCCTATCACTTTTGCACCTGAAGTTATCAAACTCTGTATAACAACCACCCCAAATCTTAGTGGTTTAAAAGTTCACTCTGGCAGCTGGGGAAGGATGGAAAGGGCCCAATGTCTCATGATTCTAAAATTTGACTGGGTACAGCAGGTGGTTCTTCCGCCATGCGTGGTGTAGACTGAGATCACCCGGGGAGGGGGGTTGGAGCATCCAAATGACCCCATATTCCAGCGTCTCTCTCCACATGGTGTCATCATTCCATGGCAGCTGGGTTCCAGAGGGGAAGAGCTGCCAGTTCCTTTAAGGGTTAGGCCAGGAACTGCACAGCATTCTATGGTCCAAACAAGTGGTGAGATGAACCCAGATTCAAGGGCCATCTGTCCTGTTGGTAGGAGTGGGAAAGAACTTGTGGGATCTTTAACCCACCACACTGCCCATCTGAGTACTTTGTTTTGCTTTCTTTATTATATGAAGTTACTTTATTTCGTGTTTTCTTTCTTCTTCTGCTTTAAGACAAGGAGAATGAATAGATTAATTGGACATTGGTTAATGTATTCCCTCTCTCAGGTAGCAGAATACCTTAATTTGACTAGGATGTGCCCTTAAGAAGGTAGATAGCAGAGGCCCTTAAGAGGTATTACTGCCACTGTGTGGCTCAGATGGTTGAGCATCATCTAGCAGTGGTTCTCAACCTTCTGGCCCTTTAAATACAGTTCCTCATGTTGTGACCCAACCATAAAATTATTTTTGTTGCTACTTCATAACTGTAATGTTGCTACTGTTATGAATCGTAATGTAAATATCTGATATGCAGGATGGTCTTAGGCGACCCCTGTGAAAGAGTCTTTCGACTGCCAAAGGGGTCGCGACCCACAGGTTGAGAACTGCTAATTAATGCATCAGGAGGTTGCATTGGATGCAACGAGTTCCTGGTCAGGGCACATGCCTGGGTTGCAGGCTCCAGTAGGGGACATGCAGGAGGCAGTTGGTGAATGTTTTTCTCTCACAGATGTTTCTCTCACTCTCTCACTCTTTCTTTGAAATAAATGGAAGCACATTTTATAAAAAGAGGTATTGCTCATGGTGAGATTTCAGCTTGAGATATTGGGACCTCTTCTCCCTTAGTTGACTGGTCAGGGGGAGAGTTTAGCAGTTGCTCATATCTGTCCTCCCCCAAATGCTGTTCTTCAAGGACTATCCACACCCTCCTGTTGTCACCTTCTCAAGTCTCACCCTGTCCCCCAGGAGTTCCCCTTGTGGTTTCTCATTTCTCTCGGGTGATGCTGGGGGCTGACAGCTGGGGAGGAGCAGCTGGCATGCCTGCAGGTGGCGGGCGGCTGACGCAGGGGTAGGGACAGCCCCTGCAAGCCGGCTCAGTGTGGCGCTCACCCTGCGGCTTTGCCCTCTGTGCCCCCGAGGTCGAGAATGTCATCACCCTCCAGAAGAGCCAGGATGAGCCGGAAGGTGACGGAGAGAAGACGACCATGATGAAGAAGATGATGGTGTGGGAGCCGCATCCGATCTGTGGCTTTGGGGTGGGGAGGGAGTGGAAGTCCTGAGTCCACCCGCTGATGAGATGGGGGCTGAGGTGGTGAGAGGACAGATGAGGAGGCAGGAACTTGGACTTGGGTCCCAGCTCCACCTCTAGCTGTCCTCTGGCTATCGGGGAGCTCAGGCAAGTCAATCCCCTTCTCTGAGCCGCACTCTTCTCATCCTGATAATACCCGAGTCACTGCTTGTTGGGAGGACAGAAGCCAATGGTTAGCTCCCTGGAAAGCATTATACACCCGGGAGCAGTTATTTAATACCAGCAATTCCTCCTGATGGGGAGGGAATTTCCTTGTCATTTTGCAAAATATAATCACTTCTCAGTTATCCACACAATGGGCTGGGTTTCCAAAATTGTGTTTAGCTTTGGGTCCCTTAAAGGGAGAAAGCATCCTTGCCCTTGATACCTCCATTTAACTAGCATGAATTGCGCACGTATTGTGTGCAGGTACCAGATCAAAAGTGAGATGTCATTAGACCATCTTTAAAGGAATCCAACTGGATTTCTTTCAGGAGCCCTTCGCTGTGTTTTTGCTGTGGGCCAGTCCATGATTTAAATATTCCTCCCCACAATGAGGCTTCAGAAACGGTTCTTGCTGAGCCCCATGCTGTGGCTAAGCAGATTTCTGGGTGCAGCTGGTTAGAGCGGGGGTGTTCTTGGTGGCGTTGAACTGAGAGCTCAGGGCAGGTTTGGGCAGCGAGCAGGCTCCCCTCACTGGAGGCCTATGGGAGCGGAGGTGGGGAGTTCTGCCCAGGCGAGGGGTTCTGCCGCCCGCTCCTTGTAAGGAGGGTGGCTGTGGCCCTGTGGTCTGCAGCGGCCTGCCCCCCTCATCGGCCCAACTGTGGTCCCCTGTCCAGAGGCAGATCCAGGAGGAGCCGCTGGATTCCCTCTCTAGCTCCGTTCGTCAGGAGGCCATGGAGGCCCTGACGCAGCTGAGGTGCCCACACCCCCTCCCCAACCCCATGTCCTTCTTCCCATGGGCTCTGCCTCTCTCCTTGGGGGCTTCTCTGCTGTGCCACACCCCCACCCCCACCCCCATGCCTTCTCCTCTCCTCTTGCCCAGTCCCTCCTCCCCCACCTCCTCTCCCCCTTTGTGGGTCTGACTCTCAGGCCCACCCCTAAACCTCCATCATCCCAGCTCTGCATGCACAGCCCAGCCTCCGGCCACAGGGCCCCCCTCATCCACGCCTTTGCTTTCTGTCTCTGCACCAGCCACACCCAGCCGGCCCTGGGTGTCCGGGAGCGGTCCGAGCTGGTGAACACGTGCGTGAGGAGTGTGTTCTCCCTGCCCTCTGTGCAGGCCATGCAGGAGAAAGATGAGGCCAAGGCTGAGAGCATACAGGTGAGCGGGGCCTTCCCCAGCAGGCCCCGCGGCTGCCCAGGGCCCTCAGAGTGAGGCACATTCCAGGGGATGGGGATGTCCACCCTCCTGCTCAGGCCTCGGGGCCTCGGGCAGTCTGCTGACTCTCTCTTGGCCTGAGAGGGATGTTTGGTGAATGAATGAATCTTTGGAATGGGGATCAGCCCCTCCTCTGGAGTGTTCTGTCCGCTTCTGGGCCCGGCCCTGCCCTGTAAGAGGGATGTGGGCAGATGTTGGCCTGGCCAGAGTTGGTGGCCAGGATTGAGAGGAGGAGGGCTGAGGACTGGGCCACGGTGAAGAAAGACTGGGCTGAGGCCTGGAGAAGTAGAACCACCAGGAGCTCATTAACACGAGCGTCTCTAAGCCTCTGCAGGCCTGTCCTAGGAGGAGTGGGCAGAGGTGACCCTCAGTGTAGGATGTAGGGTAAGTGGGGGAAGTTAAGGAAGAGGCATTTCAGCTCAGGGTAAAGCACATTCATTCATCCTTTCATTCATCAAATATTAACCGAGGGCCTACTCCTGAAGTGCAGGGGTGAGATTCAGTAGGGGCAAGGACAGGGGGAGATAGACATGATCAGGGAATCTTACAATTAATGCAAAATTACAACACGGGCAAATGTTGCAAGCAAGAAGTACTTGGTGCTATAAGAGCCCAGGATGGGGTCAGGGGTCATGGTGCTGGAGCTGAGGTTAAAGAAGAGCTAATTAGCAGAAGAGGGTGGGGCTGGCAGAAAGAAAGGCACACCAGGCAGAGGGAACAGCCTGTGCAGAGGCCTGAGGACAGAGAGAACATGGTGTCTGCAAGGGTGACACTGAGGCAGTGTGGCTGGAGCCCAGAGGGCCAGGCTAGAGTGCTGGGAAGCAAGGCAAGAGAGCTGTGGGCGCCAGACCAGGTGGCAGTCAGAGGGCTCTGGGTTCCAGAGGAGACCCAAAGGAAGGGTGGCTCATTGGGGGGTTGGGGGGATGGGTGAGGAGGGGGAAGAGAGCAGTCCCCTTGTAGTACCAGCCCTAGCCAGCAGAGGTCAGCACTGCACAGTGATAGGTTGCAGATGAGAGGGAAGGAGGAGGAAGTTGGCGAGTGAGGTTTGCTTGGTGGTTGCCTTGTAACCCTGAACAGTGACAACATGAGAGACAGACATGGTGACTTGGCAGGACCAGGGAAGACAGGGGAGAGAGGGCCTTCCCAGCGTGGCTGGAATCCACTGCTCAGCCCTGTGCATGTATAATGCATGCACTTACTAAAACAATTCCAGGGCTGTGGTGTGGCTGACAGAGGAGGAGCCTGGGCAGGGTAGAGATGGCCCCTGAAGGGGCGACCTGGAAAATCGATTTAGGTCTAGGAATAGCAATTAAAAGAAGAATCAGAGACAATAATAAAGTTTATCTAGCTCCTAAGCTCTAGAGCATTTTCCCACCCACCCCTCCTTTGTTGCTTACCTGACCTATAGTAGATTCTCAGTAAATGTGGGGTCTCTGCTTTCTCCCCCTCTAAGGTAAGAAGTGAATGGATAATAATTATCAATTTGTTGATAAGGAAACTGTACCCATGGAGGGGAAGGAATGTGTCCAATATCATACATCAAGTTAGTCTCAGAGGAGGGACCAGAAAGCAGCCTTCCAGGGCCCACACACAGGGGTTGCCCGGGGCTAGGGTCTGCTGCAGGGGCTCTGAGTGGCTTGGTCCTCCCCCTGTCCACAGATCCTCTACCGCCAGACCCTGGATGCCCTGCAGACACTGCTGAACGCTCTTTTTGTTGAGGACCCCACTCCTGCTGGGCTGAAGAGCATTTTGGAGGTGTGGGGAGGAGGGAGAGGAAGGGTGGAGGAGGAAGCAGGATTGGCTCAGGAGGGGGAGTATGGGGGGCGGGGGGCTAGATCCAGAAGGAGTGATTTGACTTCCGGATATCATCTTGTGCCAATGTTCTGCCTCCCTGTCTTTTACAGCCCTGTCCCAGACTCTTGCCCCTCCACCCTCTCCCTGTCTCTCATACTCCTGCTGTCTCTATTACTGCCCCTGTCTTTCTCTTTTATCCTCATGACTCTCCATCTTCCATCTCTCTCCTCATTGGTCTTCCAGCTTCATTCTCAGCTTCTGAACCCCAAGAGTCCCTAAGCTTTAAGAAGAGGAGAACTGTGGGGAGTGATCTTTCTTTCTTTTTAATCCTCACTTGAGACTATTTTCCCATTGATTTTTAGAGAGAGTGGAAGGAGAGGGAAAGATAGAGAGAAATATCAGTGTGAGAGAAACACATCAATTGGTTGCCTCCTGCATGTGCCCCAACCAGGGCCTGGGCCGGGGAGGAGTCTTCAACCGAGGTACGAGCCCTCAACCGGAATCAAACCTGGGACCCTTCGGTCCTCAGGCCAACGCTCTATCCACTGAGGCTAGGGCGGGAGTGGTCTTTCTGCCCTTCCCGGAAGCTGGTCAGTGGAGGCTGGCAGCCGGCCTGTAGCGCTGAGTCTGGCCCTCGTCCTCACAGCCCCTGGGGCCCTGGATGAACTCTGGAAAGGCCCATGAGCGAGCACGCGCTGTGAACAGCAATGTCTCTTTGTTGAACCATACGCTTCTCACCTTGCCTTTCTTTGTGAGTGTCCCCTGGGAGGCGGGGGGGGCCACTTCTGGGGAGAGTGTTCCCAGCTCTGAGGGTGCCTGTGATCTGTCCAGAGATTCCCAGGCGACCCTTACCAGCCTCAGAGGGCTGTGCTATCAGGGCAGGTGTCCCAGCCCCGTTCACCATGTGCTGTATAGCACTGTTGAACCTATTGGACTCAGTCCCTAAGATTACAACGCAAACAGATGTCTTCGGGATTCCCTGCGCTGGGGCTTCTGCTGGGGAGACTCATCCTTCGCATCGGGGACCCTGAGGAGGACATAGGCCGGGAGGCTTTGGATGGCATCGCCGTCCTCTACACCATCCTGGAGCTCCAGAAACGTAAGCCTGGAGCACCTCCGAAGCAAGGCTTCTGCTTAGGCACTTGGCCAGGGACTTGCCTGGAGCCTTAGCTACGAGGCGCTGGTGGGAGATTGTGGAGACCAGCAAAGGGTCTGACGGGGTCTGCAGAGGCACAAGCACAGTCCCCACGGGACCAGGGGACAAAGGCACACACACAAGCACAGTCCCCACGGGACCAGGGGACAAAGGCACACACAAACCTGTTTTGATTTAAGCATTCCTTCTATCTAAGCTTTTCCTCATCCTCCTGAGTTTAAATGGCGACTCGTTTTCACGTTCCCATGGAACCGTATATACTCAGGCATGGTAGCCCTAATATCTTGTCTCCTGGTCTGTCTTTCCCACTGGACTAGACTATAACCCCACAGGAGGGCAGGGCAAAGGCTGTGTCTGGTTCACCACTGAATCCCCAAGGGCTGGCCATGGGCTGGCACCTGGTGGGTGCTTAGTGACTATTTATTGAATGAACGGAATACAGATTTCATCTTAGGATCAGGAGTGGTTAAAGCCTGTTGGTGGAGAACATCCCTGGATTCAGCTTCAGGGAGCTGGTGACGCGGTGTGGGCTGGCACAGGTGCCCAGATGGCACTGCACCTAGAGGTGCACAGTATCACCTGTTCCTCGCATCCTTCTTTTTGCCATAGGCCCAACATCGCCCCAAGCCAAGGGACCCGGGCTTACAGTTTAAACTTCCCTGGCTCTGGAGGCAGAGTGACCTCGGTACAAGATCAGCCCTAGCCCTTCCTAGCTGTGCGACCTCCGGCCTAGATTTCCTCACCCGTAAAAAAGGGTGCAATGGGATATAACTCGCAAGATTTTTGAAAGCTTAAACGAGATCATATATGTAAAGAGACCAGCTCAGTACCACAACTAGACATTTGTCAAATAGTTTTGTTTTCCCCATGCCTACACGGATGATCAGTTTCAGCCTTTTGGGATCTGTCTGGTGTCTGCTTTTCCTGACCTCTAGCCTTTGGGACAAATATTTGGCCCCTAGGCGATGTCCCCTGCTGCCCAGGAACCACTCAGACCTCCTGAGTGGTGGGTGGAAGTGGTATAAGTCACATTCATCATTAGCCTTAGGGGCAGGAGTAGTGCAGACCAAGTTAGTACAGCATTGCTAGAGTTAGCAAACGAAAGGATAGGACACCCACTTAGCTGTGAGTTTCAGATAAACAATGAATACTTTGATTAAATATATATTTGAGATATACTTTCACTAAAAATTATTTGTTTACCTGAAATTCACATTTAACTGGGGAGCCTGTATTTTATCTGGCAACCCGAGGCCAAACCCACTCTGTTCGATTCTCTAGGAGCAAAGTGTTTGTCCACGCTCCGCCCCCTGTAGGAAGCAGCCAAGCTGGGATAGGAACCTGCGTGTGCCTGATTCCAGGTCTCAAGCTCCTTCCCTTACATACAACCCACACATGCGGTCCATGTGGTCCCTCCGCCCTGACAGACCTTTCCTATGCCCATGTCTTGCCTATGCTGGGGGATCCAGGTAGGACCCAGGCCAAGCCATAGTAAGGGCTCAGAAAATGCACCTAAAATGTGTTTCCTTCAATAGAAAAAACAAAGCCATCATGTGCCAGAGACTATTCTAGGCCCTGGGACACCGCAGTGAAGACAAATATAAAATCAATGAATTAAAGAATCCCCCCTATTGAGCTTGCCTCCTTGTTGTCAGGAGACAATAAAATAAAAGCATATAGTAAGTTAGATAATGATAAAACCTAAAGAAAAAAAAAAGGCAGAAAAGGGGAGTTGGGAATGCCAGGGGTAGGACGATTGTCAATTAAAAGAGGTATTGCCACTCCCCCACCAGAATGACAAAAATGAAACATACAGACAATACACATGCTGGTGAGACGCGAAGCCACGGGAACTCCCTGCACTGTGGGTGGGAGCACACGGTCTCCGCTGTGGAGAACTGTCAGCATCCCCTGCAGCTGAACCTGCGCTTGCCCCAACACATAGCAGTTTCTCTCCAGCCACCCAACTAACCAATGTGCACATTTATTCACCAAAAGGCATGGACTAGACATACTGGACTGTTCATAGCAGCACGATGCATGATGGCTGGAAACAACTCCAATGTCCCTCAGAAGCGGAACAGATACAGAAATTGTAGTATATTCACACCATGGGAAACCATGCAGCACTGAGATGAATGAAGCAACACTGCTTGCAATGGTACCAACAAATCTCGCGCACATGATGTTGCGTGAAAGGCAGACACCAGGCTAACATATGAGTCCATTCATAGAAGTCCAACAGCAAGGCTGTCCCATCTGTGGGGGAAGGCAGAACCCTGGTTACCGGGTGCCGAGGGGAGAGCGGACCGGGAAGGGCACAAGAGGGGCTCCTGGGTGCTGGTCACGTTCTGTTTCTTGGTCTGGGCCCAGTTGATGGCTAGGCTGCGCATTTGAAAGTGTATTAAGCTGGTGCTATGATGTATGCACTTCCTCCGTCTATGTTTAACAAAATGCTATAAGGCGAGGTGGTTGGGCCCCACTGAAAAGGCCCTCTTCTTGCAGGAGCCAGAGATAAGAGGGAGACCAACAAGAGGGAACTGTATGAGAGCAACAAGCGGTTCTTGGGGCCCTACAACCCTGCCAGCCCATGCCAGAACATTCTGCGTGTCGTCGCGGTACTGCTGGCTGCCCCCTGCCCTGGGCCTTCCCGGGGATGCGGGAGAAGGGCAGCGCCCATGCCCAATGCCTTCCCCACCCCTCCCATCTTCCCAGGTTCAAGTCCCCTTTACAGGAAACCTAGCCCGGCCCCGCGGGCCGCGCTGAGTGCCCCCACCCCTCTGGCCTGTGCCACAGGATATGGGCCACGTCGCCCTGTTTTGCAGCTCCTCCCTGCTGACCTCTGCCCGTCTGGCGCATTTGTGCATCTGTGTACAGCTCATTCGGGGTCTGTCCGTGTGCGCCTGCATCTCTGCGCCTCTGTTTCAGGAGTTCGGAGAGTTCCTGGGGCCCCAGCAGGTGAAGGACCTGATGCTAGCCGCCCTGGAAGGGCTGACAGGCGGCTCAGAGGCCGAGGCTCGGGGGAGAGACTCGGGGGAGATGAGGCAGCTGGCCTCGGAGGTGACGCTCAGCTCAGTGCTGGAGTGGTACCGGCACAGGGCGCTGGAGGTGGTAAGGCCCTGGGAGCAGGGGCTGGGCGGGGAGACCCCTATAGGGCCCGTTCATCCCTCAGGCAGAGTGGGGTGGTGGTGGCTGAGTTCTAGGTGCTGCCAACTTGGAGCGAGAAAAAACTCACCCATGCGGTGTTGGGTGGAGGTGGGCAGTGAAGACAAAGGGGCTCACGTTCAGGGAAGGCGCAGGCATCTGCCCTCCCCATTTCTCTCCTGTGTGCCCCCTCTTTCCGGTCACTCTATCCTGTCACTCCTCTCCTCCTCCATCTCCCTGCCCCCACGCCTCCCCTTGCTTCCCCTGGGCCTCACCTGCTCACGGCGCCGCCCGCCACTGTGCTCCAGATCCCGGAAATCATGCAGGCCGTCTACATGCAGCTGAGCCGCATCCAGGAGCCTCGGGCCCGCGAGGTGGCCCTGCTGCCCATCTCCCTCCTGGCCAGCTCGTTTATGACCGAGGTCGTCGTGGCCCTGCTCATGTGCCCCCTCCCACTGGACAGGTACCACGTCAGGGGGGTTTGTGGGCCACTACATCTCAGAGGGTCAAAGCAGCTCTCCCCCCTCCGCACCCCCGCGGCCTGGGACTCTCCTTCTACCCCGAGGAGCCCCTTGCCCTTCCAGATGGCCCTCTTCTGTGCTCTGCGGTGCTATGACAACCAGTAAGCACTCCCAAGCACTGCTGGCTGTCTGTGCTCAGCATTAATAGTGCAATAACCCCATTCTACAGATCAGGAAACTAAGGCTCAGGGGAAGCTGTTTTTTAAAAAATATATTTTTATTGATTTCAGAAAAGAAGAGAGAGAGAGAGAGAAAGAGCGAGAGAGAGAGAAAGAGAATCATTGATCAGCTGCCTCCTGCATACCGCCTACTGGGGATTGAGCCCATAAACCAGCCATATGCCCTGACTGGGAATTGAACCATGACCTCCTGGTTCAGAAGTCGATGCTCAACCACTGAGACATGCCAGCCAGGCAGGAAGTTTGTGAGCCAGCAACAGCATGAGGACCTAAACTCAGATCTGACCAACGCCAGGCCCAGAGCTGGAAGGAGTGGCGCCATGGGAAGGAAGCCTGGGACACAGTCCTGACTCAGCCGTCAGCTGCTGTGTGGGCTTGGTACCCTGCTTGTCCTCTCTGGGCTTAGTTTCCCCGCAAAAGCAGGAAGTAATCCCTGAATTCCCACTCCGGACCAGTGGTCGTGACAAGCAATGCAGCCAGCTGTGCTGAGTTCCTGCCGGGTCCCGGCCTGTGCAGGAGGACACACTGGGCTCTCAGCCTCCAGGGAGCAGGTGGCCTGATGGGCAGAGAGGACTGAGGTGGCCCGATGGGGCCAGATGTGAGCTTGTAGGCAGGAGACACCAGTCTGACTGCTCCAGCCGCTCAGCCCAGAAAATGCTCCCACACTTGGAGTGGCTACAACAAGGCGGAGAGTGTGTGGTCCATCTCTTAAGATGTTTGGCTGAGAATGACCGTGAAAGAACTGTGTGGAGCTATGCAAACGGGGCGTGATTCTAAGTAAGAGTTGGTGTCATTCATAGAAACCGAAGACATGGGTGGTGCGGGCTGCGCAACACGGGTCTGTTCTCCCGCCTGCAAGAAGCGTACCCTTCTGACGGCACTGCCCGCCAGGGCGTTTCTTCCCAGAGCCACTAAATGTTCGGACTCACCAGGAGGCCGCTGGGGCCGCACTTGACATAGAGTCGCTCAGGATGTAGGCGGGGCAGTGTCAGGGGCTCCTCTTTGCAGGAAACCATGCAGCAGCCCAGAAGCCACCAGACAGAGCTGGAACAACATTTAAGGAGGCCCTGGCTCTCAGGTGCCAGCTTGCACTTGTATGAGCCCGAGAGCGAGGGACTCCTTAAATTTTGTGCCCCAGACGCTTCACTTTCCTCACTTCACTCTTGGCCTCTCAGGTGAAAGGTGCAGGAGCCGCCCTGGCTTAAATGTGTCTGGCCTCACAGGAACTAGTATTTCTTACAACAAATAACTCATAGACTTTGCTTCCAGGGTCCCCACAGGGACAAATCCAGTCGCAAGAGTCCCTGTGCCCCAGGAAGCTCAATGCTACGGCGTCCCCGTCGGTTCTTACAGTGAATTTACAGTTCCTCCCAGCCCAGATGCAATTTACCAACTGGGTCATTTTTACCATAAGCATTTTTACCATTTTTACCAACTGGTGCCTAGCAACATGGTTGGCATGCTGTGCTTATCTGGTTTCCAGGGGAATAGAGCTGGAAAGTTAATGAAAGGTTCAAACCTCACGCAGAAGCACTGGCCTCTCAATGCTTTCAAGTCCCTAGGATAGGTGTGTCCGCAGGCTGTGCTGCCTGCACAGATGCCCTCCCCCTGCCTGGTGGACGGCCTTCTAAGGGACAGGGGTGGGGGCTCCTTGATGTTATGTGGCAAATGCAGGCTCCAGGCCCCAAAGGGCACAGGCTTTGGAGACATCAGACCTGGTCACTTCTTGACAATACAGCCCATTAGCTGTGGAGTCTTGGACTGGCGATTTCACCTCCCTGAGCCTCAGCTCTGCATCTGTGAAATGGGAATAACAACCCACCCTGAGGTCATTGTGAGAATTCAGTGACTTTGAATGGCTCAATATCTTGTTCACACCTGTAGCCCCAGAAATTTTCTTAGTGCCTGGCAGAGAGCAGACGCTCAGTATTTGCTGGAGTAATAACTTGTATGTAAAGTACCTGGCATAACAGCTAGGAAATCGGGTTTTCTATCACTATTGGCCCCTGCTTCCCAGGGAGTGTTTTCTGGGCCATTCCAGAAATTTGCTGGCATGCTCATGGATACCACTGGAAGGCCAGGGGGGCGCCCTGCCCTGGTCCTCACTAAATATCCCACCCCTGACCTCCCAGCAATGGAGCAGAGATGTGGAGGCAGCTGATACTGGGCAAGCCCAGCTGTGAAGTCCGAGATCTCCTGGACCTGCTCCTGACCAGCCTGAAGGAGAAGCCTGTCACCAAGAAGGGCAGGGCCTCCATCGTGCCCCTAGCGGTGAGACCTGCCTGCTGTCCCCTCTGACCCTGCCCCTCCCGCCCTGCTGGGCTTCACACACCTGGCTTCCCGTGCCCTGCTCTGCTAGCAGCTAGTTGTGTGGCCTCGGGCAAGCCTCTGCCTCTGGGCTCTTGTAGGGCCCACTGATGACAATGGCACTGCCCCCACAGGCCCATCAGCATCCCGGGGTAGTGAACACGAAATGACCGGGGATGGGAGCCCTGCGTCTGAGAACCGGCTTTGCTATGTTACTTTTGTGTGGCCTGAGCACCGTACCTCTCTGAGGCTCAGTCTCTGCACCTATAAGTGGAAACAAGAGTATGTGTCTCGCGGGGTGGTTGTGAAGACTAACTCATTCCTCATTTGGTGACACAAAACATTTACGCTCTCCTTGCTGCCAGGCTCAGAGTGTAGCCCTAGGACACAGAGGGCACGGGCTCTGACTGCAGGAAGGTCGCTGGTTCGAGAGACAACTTCTCTCTGCCTCTCTCACTGCTACCCTGGTCTAAGGCACCTGCTCACTCCCTGCTCCCACTGCTGCCCCTGTAATCTGTATTGCGCAGCTGCTCTTCTGAACCTCCTCAATGGCCTCCCATTGCCCTGGAGAGTAACACAGTGCTCCTACCCGTGCTGCAGGCCCCACACCCCTCATGGGCCTCACCACACTCCATGCTCCTCTTGCTTGCTCCAGCCTCCTGGTCTTGACCAGAATGTCATACGTGCTATGCTGTCTTCTGTCACAGGGCCTTTGCACATGTTTTCTCTGCCTAGACTACTCTCCACCAAGTTAACGTCTATTCATTCCCCCAGCTCTCAGCTCAAGCATCACCTCCTCAGGGCAGCCCTCCCCGATCTCCCTAACATGAGGAAATCTGTGCATATTATACTTTGCATCACATACTTTATCTTGGGAGAATTTACCCCAGTTGTGATTTGACAGCAGTTGGAGGGGGTCATTCGATTAACCTGTGAGGTGCATGAAGATGAATAACTGAGCCTGTTTTGCTCACCATGATATCTCCAATGTCTAACAGACGCCTGGCACATAGTAGACATTAAAAATGTTTGAACTGATATAGTCAACAAATATTTATTGATCACCTACTATGTGCCATGCACACTCATAAGCTCTGGGATACAGCAGAGAGCAGGACATTCTGATGGAGGAAAGCAAATACAGGCATGGGGAATGGAGGAGGGGTGGCATTATCCTTTGCAGAGCAAGATACTCCTGCTCAGCCGTACAGTCCACGTCTTGCCCAAGGTCACACAGCCGGGGAGCAGTGGTGCCAGGACTCACACCCAGACCTCCTACCTCCAACCCTGTGCTTCCCCCCCCCCCATCTCTCTGCCGCTCCCCCTAGCATGGAGTTCTGTGAACAAGCACCAGCACCCACACCTCCCCTGCCCGGGGCATGTATCCGCTCCTCCTTCCATCAGTGTGTGCTAGCCTCTTCTTCAGTCAGTCAGGCATGCTGCTTGTTCAACCAGCATGGCAGAGATCGCCTGGACTAATTTAAAATATATGTACTTTAATTGATTTTTTTTTTTTTTTAGAGAGAGAGAGGAGGGGAGAGGAGAGAAAGATAGAAACATTGACTGGCTGACTCCTGCTAGTCCCCTACTGGGGCTCAAGCCTGCATGTGCCCTGACCAGAAATCAAACCAATGACCTCTTGGTGTATGGGTCGACATCCAACCACTGGGCCATACCGGCCGGGCTGGACTAATTTTTATATTGTGGTATTGATAAACCATTTGAGCAAGATCAAGCCAAGAGCAGAGCCCTGTGGCACATCCCTAGCGACTTTTCTTACACCACAGACTGTTTTGTCTAAATACAGTCATTGGGTTTTGGGCTGCTGAAAAGTGTAAAGGCTTTGAGTCCATGAGGCTTGTCTTAGCTCTGCCACTGCCTGTCTATATAACCTTGGTCAGTCACTTCCCCCTCTTTATCCTCCATATTTGCATCTGTAAAATGGGTAGTAATAACTCCTGCCCGACTCTTACCTGTTAAGAGCAAGGTAGTGTATGTGAAGGGGTTTCTTAAGCCGTGAATTACAAATAAGTGCCACTTATTGTTCTCATCCAGCCCACATTATGTCTTATTTCCACGGGAACAAGCCATGGGTTTGGTGGCACAGATTTCAACCATTTCTTTAGAAAGCATTCTCCCTTATCCTCCACTCAATTCCCACCACACCTGTGAGCTGGCTGGAAGAGGACCAGTAGCCTCACTTTATGGAGGATGAATCTGCGGCCTGAAGAGGGACAGGGGGTGGTGGAACCAGAATGAGCCATCAGGTCTCAGGACCCCAGCCCATCACTGCCCCCTCCCACCACACATGGTCCTGCAAGTTAGAGAGGACTTGATGGGCTGAGTGGGAGGGGTGGGGCCGAGTGTGAGGGGTGGAGCCAGGCCAGGACCAGAGAGGACTGGTAGGTGAAGGTGGGAGGTGAGTGCAAGGTGGGTCCTTAGGAACCTGGTGGGCCAAACGCCAACAAAGCCGGGTTCCCGGGACTTGGGAGGACTGGTGTGGGGGCAGGAGGGCGAGGCAGGTGGGTTTGGGGTGAGAGAGTCCAGGACTGGTCCGCCCTGGCTCTGCTCAAGGCTGGGGCTTGTTTGGCTGCTGGCTATATGGGGAGGCAGCGGGCAGTTAAGGGCCCAAAGTAGAGTCAGCTGCTGCCCCTCTTTGTGCCTGTTACAAAGAGGAAGAGGCAGGGCAGCCACAGCCTTATCTCAAACCCTGGGCTCATGACCCAGCTCTGTCCGCAAGGGGTGACCTTGGACAAATGCCGTCCCCCATCTAGCTTGTCTCCTCACTGACACAGTGCCATGGTCACTCCGCCTCCCAGAGATGGGGTGGGACCCCTCCACCGGGATCCTCCAGGGGGTGTGAACAGCAAGAGGCAGGTTCTTGTTGTTGCTCTGGCGCAGGGCTCATCCAGAGAGCGGGAGCCGGGTGGGGCGTGGAGGGCATCTGGGTTTTCCCAGGCTGGGCCAGCATAGAGCAAAGATCCAGGGGTGACCCAGAGAGGCGAGGCAATGGGCAGGAAGTCCCACCAGCCTCCCCTCTGCCCTCAGGCAGCCAGCGGCCTGTGTGAGCTCCTGTCGGTGAACAGCTGCCTGGGCCGCGTGAGGCGCATCTACCCCCAGCTGCTCCTGGCGCTGCTCGTTCAGGTCCATTACCACATCGGCCTCAACCTGCCTCGCCGCCTGCCTTCCCAGCCTGAGCGCAAGGAGGCCAAGAAGGACACACAGCCCTCCGTCTTCGAACCCGTGTGGTATGCCCCTGCTGTGTCCGGCTCGGGGAGGGCCACGCAGCAAGGGCCCTTCTGAAGGCCTTGAGGGCGCCGAGCAATGGGAATTAGCTGTGGGATAGAAGAGAAAACAGAAGCACACTTCTGTGAACGCCAGCAAGGTGTCCGGCACCTTCTGTGCGTCAGACTCTGCTCCGAGCTGGGCCGCAGGAGAACCTGCCCCCTCCCCGCCCTACCCTCCCCCCGAATCCGGGCTCACCGTGCCGTTCTCCTCTCTCCCCAGGGGTATTAGCTGTATTAGGTTTGAATCCAAGACCCAACCATCGGATTTTAAATTATTAATCAGAATAGGTAATATATGCACATAGCAAAACCTCCGAAGACATTAACAGGGAGCGTCCTTTCCTCCCTTACCGGTTACCCTCCCCAGGAGGACAGAGTTCTTCCTTGCCCTCCCGGAGGTGTGTGTGCAGAGATAAGCTCACAGGTTTATTTCTCTATTTTTACACCAATGGGGCTGTGACCCTCACACAGGTGTACCTTTCTGCTTTTAGCATATGCTATATATTGGAGATCATTACGTGGACAGCTGCTCATTTTTAAAATATATATATATATTTTATTGGTTTCAGAGAGGAAGGGAGAGGGAGAGATAGAAACAGCAATGATGAGAGAGCATCATTGATCAGCTGCATCCTGCACGCCCCCTACTGGGGATTGAGCTACAACCCAGGCATGTGCCCTTGACCAGAATCAAACCCAGGTCAACCCTCTAGCCACTGAGCCAAACCGGCAAGGAGACTGCTCGTTATTTTTAACAACTACATAATATTTCTGTGTAAGAAATTTCAATGTACCACAATTTATTTCACCAGGGTCCTCTTTTTTTTGTTTAATTTTTAAAATTGATTTCAGAGAGGAAGGTAGAGGTAGAGAGAGATGGAAACATCAATGATGAGAGAGAATCATTGATTGGCTGCCTCCTGCATCCCCCACCCATATTGGGGACGGAGCCTGTAACCTGGGCATGTGCCCTGACTAGGGATTGAACCGTGACCTCTTGGTTCATAGGTTGATGCTCCACCACTGAGCCACACTGCGTGGGCAGGGTCCTCTTGATTTAGGCCCATTGCAACTGCAGACAATGCTGCAGCTGTTTGCTTGTGCACATGTCTGTGTGCACACGTGCAGTTGTCTCTGCAGGAGGAACTCCTGGCAGGGAGGGAATGGCTGCACCAGAGGGAACTCCTGGCAGGGAATGGCTGTAGCAGAGGGTTCCTGCGTCTAAATATTAAGGTGGAGGAGGAATATGTGGGGGAAAAAAAAAAAGAAAGAGTTCTGGGCTGTGCAGTGATGAAAGCAGAATTGGAGTGCACCCTAAGACACCAGATTTGCCAAGCTGCTGCCCACAGAGGGCACTGCCTCCAGCGTGTGCGAGTGTCTATGTCCTCCCACTTTGCCAGCACAGTGCAGTAGAAAACATTTTCATCTTTGCCAATCTGAAAGCTGGAAAAAATGGCGTTGTGCTGTAATTACAGTTTGCAGGTGGCTCATTCTGTTTTAAAGGTGCTAATGCTTAAACTGGAAGATATAACCTTCCTTCTCCAACAAAAATGTATAAATCTCAGCTTAGCCATTCAGCCAGTGCTGGGAGTTTTGGGGGTGAGGGAGGAGGGTGGATGGGAGAGTTGGGAGGGTGAGCCCTAGGCTCTTAAGGTGGACAACATCTGGGGCCTGCCTGCCTCTGTCCCTTCGTGAGTATATGTGTGTGTGTGTGTGTGTGTGTGTGTGTGTGTGTGTGTGTGTGTGTGAGAGAGAGAGAGAGAGAGAGAGAGAGAGAGAGAGAGAGAGAGTGTGTGTGTGTGAAAGAGAGAGAGAGACTTTACACTCTGGGGGCATTGCTGGTGTGGCTGTCACTGAGCGCAAGTTTCAAAGCTTTAGCACAGAGGTTGCATGATTCCGAATGCCCTGGTTCAGAAGCTTGACTTTTCACACTGCACTAATATTCACCACAAAACCAAAAATGTGAAAATTGAGCCAATTACCTGAGTTCCAAAATACTTGATGCTTCGTATCATGGGAACCTCCAGCTCCCAATATCATTTGAGGTCTGTCCACACAACTGCATCATAAATTCTCTTTTTTATAATCCTCACCAGAGGCTATTTTGTCCATTGATTTTTAGAGAGAATGAAAGGGAGGGAGGAGGGGCAGAGAGTGAGAGAAACGTCAATGATACAAGAGAGACACATTGATTTGTTGCCTCCTGAAACGCCCTGACCCCGGCTGGAGAACTGCAACCGAGGTACATGCCCTTTGCCAGCAATCCAACCCATGACCCTTCGTTCCATGGGCTGACACTCTAACCCAGTGGTTCTCAACCTGTGGGTCGCGACCCCTTTGGCAGTTGAACGACCCTTCACAGGTGTCGCTTAAGACCATCCTGCAAATCAGATATTTACATTATGATTCATAACAGTAGCAACATTGCAGTTATGAAGTAGCAACGAAAATAATTTTATGGTTGGGTCACAACATGTGGAACTGTATTTAAAGGGCCAGAAGGTTGAGAACCACTGCTCTAACCACTGACCAAAACAGCCAGGGAGCATTATAAACTCTTAAAGCAAGGGTTTGGGTTTCTGGAAAACCTGTTTAAATGTAAACTTTATTCCACACGTTGTCATTTTTTTTATTTTAATAAAGGTTTATACACACATGTAGATGTATATATGTCTATATATATCCATACACATACAGACACACCTAAACATATATATGCGCACATACACATCCTAGTACATATACATATACACACATACACACTATATATCTGTGAGCACCCAGTGCTGTGCTGGGCGCACAGTAGGACGACTCCCTGGCAGTGCCCTCCAAGCTCACCCAGGGGCTTCAAAAGCACAGAGGCCGGGGCCCAGCCTGGTCAGGCCGCAGGTTGTACAAGCTCCCCAGGTCCTGTTGTGCATCTAGGTTTGGGACTCACTTCTTAAGTGTCCCAATGAGATGAAGGGCTCATGGTTGGACAGGAGACTGTGTCCAAATGAGCAGACAGGACTGTCCTGCAGAGCACCACCCAGCCAGGGGCGTGATAGTGGGGGAGGGCAAGCGTGAGGCAGGGCCGGGAGGCAGGGAGCCCCAGCTCCGACCTCTCCTCCCACTGAGGAGGCCCCCGGGGAAATGGGAGGGCAAAGCACCAGCTCAAAGGGAGGGAAGTTTTGCTTCTGTGTTCTCTTGCTCTCAAAGCTAATGATGGTTCGTACAAAAGCCACTCTTTGTGGATACGCTGAGCACACTCGCCAACAAGTAGCCTGGCAGAGAGAAGCTCCTCTGGCTAAAATGGGAGCTGCCCGTGGAAGGGGCCTGGGCGGAGGGAGGCCCAGCCTGCTAGGAGCGGGGCGCCTTGAGGTCTCAGCCCCCTTGTCTTGGCAGCTGGGTGGTCAAAGTGGTGAAAACCCTGCTGCTGAAGATGGGCTGCTCATACGAGGCCACCTTTCTGGATGACCAGGGCGGCTGGGAGCTCATGGGGCAGGAGGAGAACCACCACCGAGGCGTGTCCCTGCTGGCCAGGTGAGGCCGGGGCCCGGGCAGGGGTCGGAGGGAGGGGAGAGACCGCGGCTTCTTCAGACAGACAGACAGACAGACAGACAGACAGACAGACAGACAGGTGTGGGATTGTGTCTCTCCGGCAAACCAGCCCCTCAGTCCACCACCCCTTCTCTAAACCAGGAGAGCACCGTCTGCCTGGCGGGTAGACGGCACAGAGGTGAGGGACGGCACACGCTCTGTGGAGGCAACATGACTGCCACAGGGCCTGGCATCACAGGGCACTGAGGGTTGATGAAGCCCCTCGTCTCACTGTGCTATGATTAGCTCCCACACGAATGCAGGAAGGATGGGGTCGTCAGGTAGTTCGGAGTGTGGCCTGGGAGTTGGTTTGCCTGCGTCTGAACCCCCTTTGCCATTTCCCAGCTGTGACCCGGGCAAGTCACATCCCTGTCTGTGTCTCAGTTTTCCCTCCATTCGTGTGGAAATAATAACAGGACCCACAGCAAGATTTGGGGGGAGGATTAAATAAAGTGCTCAGAAGAGCACCTGGCATGTGGCAAGAGCTCAACACAGGTTAGCTTTTACTATCCTCCTGCTGACTGGGGGTGGGGGAGTGGGGGCAGGAATGACTAATGCAGAGGAGGATGCCAGAGAGGGACAGTTATGTACCAAAGTCACACAGCCAGGAAGTGGCAGAGCCGGGAAACGACCTGCTGACCCAGCCCAGCGCTCTTCCCTGCCACCACACACAGCCGCCCTTGGGGCCAGGAGAGGGCCCCTTGATGTCAATGATGTGACCCCTGTGAGAACAGCCTGTCCCTCAACCCTGCACCAAGTGCCCTAGATGGTGCTCTCCCTGGGTCTCAGGACACAACACATTTACTGAGCACCTAATATGCTCAAGTCGGCATGCAAAGGGTTGTGTGTATGTGGGTTATTCCGTTTAATTGTCACCATGGCTGATGAAATAGCACTATTATTATCCCAGTGCTACCCAGGAGGAGACCGAGTCACAGAGAAGGTAAGTGACCTGCTAAAGCCACACAGCTAGTGGTGGGGCCAGGATTTGAACCCAGGCTGCCTCACTCCAGACTCTGCAGCTGCCACGCTCTCTGACTCACTGGTGAATGGAGCGTAGCGCAGGGGTCCTTGGACTTGAGCGAGCACAGTCATTCACAGGGTTTGTTGTCACGCTGAAAGCTGGGCCCTACCCCCAGAGTTTCCGATTCACCCCATTTGGGGCAGGGCCTGAGAATGTGCATTTCCAGGGATGCTGACACTGCTGATCCAGGGGCCACACTTTGAGAACCACTGACTTGGTACAATAAACAAGACAGCTAGAGTGGAGAGCCCGGGGTTGGGGCTCCAGCCCTGCCATGTTCCCAGCGCTGTGACCCCCGGCCTCTGTCTCCTTATCTGTGAAAATGGGGATATAATGGTAATCTGAAGCTTCAGGGTGAGGATCCGATGCAGCCACATGGGAAAGCATCGGGCTGCTGCCTGGCACTCAGTGGGTGGCCCTCGCACTCTCTCCTGCTGTGTCCTCCTGAACCGGTCCTGTGCAGTCGGGAGTCCTGAGCCTGTCTGACTGATCTGCCCTGTGCTCTTGGGCAAGTCACTTCCCCACTCAAAGTCTCAGTTTCCTCACCTGCAAAACAAAGCAGTTAACCTCGATGGCCTCTGGGATGCTGTCCAGGTGGGGAATCTTGGGAGCACAGAACCCAGGTGACCTGGTCTTGTCCATAGTTTCGAGGGTCATGGCCAGACCCCCACCAGCCGAGCTCCCTGGGGCTGGAGAGCCTGAGGGCCTGCCCCTCTGCCCTCCACCCCCAGGGCCATGGTGCAGTACTCCTGCCAGGAGCGGTGCCGCATCCTCTACCTGCTCATCCCGCTCCTGGAGCGTGGCGATGAGAAGCACAAGATCACGGCCACCGCCTTCTTCGTGGAGGTACCAACTGGGCACTGGGTGCTGGTAGGGGCTGCTCCCAGGCCTCCCCCGAGCCTAGACCTCAGGTCACATTATTGGTCTTTTCTCCTGTGCAAACTGTGCTTAACCATTGATAGTATTTTGTGAGCATGATTTCTCTTGAATATGATGAACTCCCCCTTCCCTCCCTTCTCACCTCCTCTCTCCACTCCTTCACCCATTCCACTCTGCTCAGACCCCCTTCGTGCCCCAGGCAACCACCATCCTTTGCTGGGCATGTCTGTGCGCCAGGCACCAGGTTGGAGATGCAAATACACATTTGACTCTGCCCTGCTCTCACGGGGAGCCTGGGTACACGGGGGAGCAATGGCCACCCTCCCTCAGCTCTTCCAGATGGAGCAGGTGCGGCGGATCCCCGAGGAGTACTCCTTGGGGCGGATGGCGGAAGGCCTGAACCACCACAACCCCATCATGAAGGTGCTGTCCATCCGAGGCCTGGTCATCCTGGCCCGCAAGACTGAGAAGGTGAGCCGAGGGCAGCGGAGAGCCCGGCCCAGCCCGGCTCAGGGCGGGAGGGAGGGTGGAGCGAGCTGCCGTCCGCTCTTGGGTGCCAGCGCTGGAATCAGAGCCTGTTCCTGTCCTGCCCATCAGTGAAACGGATAGCTCTTAATAATTCCCTGAATGCCTTATTCTTCTGAAGCAGTTTCTAATCCAGACTGTTCACAACCATCTTTGAGGCAGTGTGTGTCAGAAGGCCCGGGCACGGCAAGAACTACTCTGGTTTTACGGATTAGGAAACCAAGGCCAGGATTGCCGGGGAATCCTTAGCGTTTTTTAAAGTGCTTTGTTTTTTCCGACCGCTCGCGGTTGCAGCTCTGGATGGATGTAGCGGGAGGAAGTGACAGAACGTAGATTCACAAAGCAAACTAACAACACGGGGAAGCGGGCAGACAGCAAAGGGCCCTGGGCGTCCAGGCCAGGAAGGAGCCAGCAAGGCCAAGGGGGCTTTGGGGAGAGCAGAGCGTGGGTGAGGCCATCCAGGCGGGCGGCTGGCATAGCAGAGCCTGGAAGCAGGACTTGTTCCACCAAGTTCTTCTCCGTGAATCCGGGGCTGGGTCTCCTACCCGTTAGCCCAGGTAGGAGCCCCATCCCAAAGCTCCTGCCCCACAGACCGCCAAGGTGCAGGCCCTGCTGCCCTCCATGGTGAAGGGCCTGAAGAGCGTGGACGGGCTGCTGGTGATGGAGGCGGGCCACAACCTCAAGACCATCTTCAAGGGGCAGGACCGGAAGCTGAATGACAGCTCGGTCTCTGTGGAGTTGCTGCAGATCCTGCTGCCACACTTCAGTGACGTAAGGAACATGCGGGCTGCCATACCCCATGGCCCGCAGGACCTGGGCAGGGCCAAGTCATTCCGACACGTCTTTTTGCAATAGGTGTGCATGGAGGAAGGTCCTTTTCTAATTGGCTCTCATAGAGAGCGTTCTCCCCAGAGACTTGCTTCATTGCTGTTGTGCACCTACAGGGGGTGCGTTTTTTTTTTTTAATAAATACTTTGTTATCATTTTATTTTTTAAAAAAATATATATTTTCATTGATCTCAGAGAGGAAGGAAGAGGGAGAGAGAGATAGAAACATCCACGATGAGAGAGAATCATGGATCGGCTGCCTCCTGCAAGTCCCCCACTGGGGATCGAGCCCACAACCCAGATATGTGCCCTTGACTGGAGTCGAATCTGGGACCTTTCAGTTCGCAGGCTGATGCTCTATCCACTGAGCCAACTCGACTAGGGCTGTTTTACTTTTAAATTTTTTATATTTAATTTACAGATTCAATGACAATATATTTATACATTGAATAAAATGACTTTTAACTATTCTTAGATATATCATAAATTCACCATTAAGTGCACAAATCAGTGTTTTTAGTGTATTCAGAGTTGTGCAACCATCTAATATCTCTTAAAATATGTTTTTTATTGATTTTTAGAGAGAGAGGAAGAGAGAGGGAGAATCATCGATGTGAGAGAGAAACATTGATGGGTTGCGTCCCACACACACACCT